GAAAGCATTGTAGGATTTGAGAGTTGTTAATAATTAATACTAGTATCGTTTACATCTTGTCATCTTCAGAGTAGTTGCCTCTACTTTTAGGGTTCATACTAACAAGCATACCAAATTCAAATAAAATCAGCCAAGGCAAAACCATGGTCTTACAAATCAGATTCAATTAAGATCAGTCATATTAAGGCAATGTAAGTAATACAGGATTTCAGTTTAAGTTAATAGGAAAGTAAGGATAGTTACCATGGTATAACCTGCTATTTTTGAGTCAGATGTCTGTGCCTTCAAATCTGACATGAGTGGACAGACCAGAACAAATTAAATTCAAACAAAACATGGCGATAAGACTACTGTGTCTTTTAAATCTTGATACACTATTAACAATGACCTCTGCCTTTTTTTATAGTGTTTCAGAGCTATCTATACTAAAGACTATAGCTTACTTACTGTCTCTGCCTCATGTCTGCTACTCTACTTTTCTGCTATAATTTGTCCACCTTATTCCCTCATTCCACTGTCTGCCCCGTTCATTGAGGCCTGTCTGCCACTGTTGCTGGAATCCTGGTATCCCTTCCTCTCTTTCACTGGAATGTCCTTCAGCACTCTCTGTAGGGTTGGATTGGTGGCCATGAACTCCCACAGTTCCTCCTTGTCTTGGAAGCATCTTATTTCTCCATTAATTTTGAGAGAAAGTTTTGACGGGTATATGAGTCTTGGTTGCATATTATTTTCTTTCAGGACTTGGAATATTTCTCCCCATTCCCTTCTTGATTTAAGAGTTTGTGTTGATAAGTCTGTTGTTATTTTGATAATTTTCCCGTTGTGGGTAATCTGCTTCTTTTCTCTGGCTGCTTTTAATATTCTGTTCTTTGGGTGGATTTCTGGAATCTTGATTATTATATGTCTAGGTGTAGATCTGTTTGAGTTGTAGGTAGCTGGTGTTCTGTGTGCCTCTTTTATCTGGATATCATTTCGTTTTGGTATACATGGGAAATTTTGCTTTAATATATCTGTGAATATTCTTTGTATTTCATTTTTGGTTGCTCCTGCTTTCTCACTCACATTCTTTATTCTTAAGTTATATATCCTTTTGTCATCTTCTAGCCTTTGAATTGTTTCTTTCTGGTTCCTTGTTATTTTTAAGAGGTCTTTTCTTTCATGATCATATGTCATAAATCTCTCTTCAAGTTTCAAAAGGCTGGCTTTAGTTTTTGTTAAGGCATTTTGCTAGTGTTCAATGGAGTTTTTAGTTTCCTGGTAATCTCTTTGGATCTGTTTCATGTATTCTAAGTTATGTTTAAATTCTTCTTCAGAAGTTTCTCTTTCTTTTCTGATTTCCTCAGTTCTTCCATCTGTGTTCTCTTGGGCGGGGCTTGTCATTTCTTTAATCTCTTTATATCTTGCCTCACTTGGATCAGGAATACAGCTTTAAATTCATCTATGAGGTCATGGAGGTATTTTTTAATTTCGGCTGGTGCTGTGTCCAGTATTGGATGGTCACTGTGCTTGTTCTCTTCAGTGTTTACTTCTTCTGGGCTTATTTTCTCATGTTGGGCAGCTGGAGATTTTTATTTTTATCTCTTGTCATGTTTCTGGTTTCTTTTAGACTGGAGTGTCCTGGGGGTCTCTGGCCCTCTCTGTATTGCTTAGGGCCTTTCAGAAGCATGCTGACTTGAGTTTTTGCTGTCTTCCCCAATTTGCTGTTATCTGGGGTAGGCAGGGATGCAGGGACAGTGCAGGCTAGCCTGCAGCCTCTGTGCCAGTCAATCCATAAATTAGGCTGTACTTTCTGGATGTCACAGAGTTGCAACTTATTTTGTATCTGCTTATTGGGCCCCAAGCAGAGGCTTGTTCAGTCCCAGCAGATCCTGCCAGTTCTCTCTGTGCCAGAAGCAGCTGACTAATGTCACCGTGTCACAGGGTTCTGCCCAAATCCCCAGCTGTCCTCTTCCAGACTTCTCTCTGCCAGGTCAGCGGGTCTGCCCAATTCCAAGATGTCTTCCACTAGTTCTCTCTATGACACTGAAGCTGACACTGCCCCAGGCTCTGCCCAATTTCAAGATGTCCTCCACCAGACCTCTCTACGCCAGGGGCGACTGTCTGATGTCACCAAGCCGCAAGTTCTGCCCAACTCTAAGATGTCTTCCACCAAACTGTATTATTGATGTCGCCGTGGTGGCAGGCTCTGCCCAATTCCAAGATGTCCTCTGGCCAACCACAGCAGCCACGGTACCCAGTCCCTAGGTCTCACCAGGGCTCAGTGCAGGTCTTCCTCTTGAGTCTACTGTACACTAAGCTGCTTGCGTTTACTGCGTTCCCAGGCACAGTGTAAATGGTCAGAAAACTGCATGGCGTTCGGCTTCGGAGCTCTAGATCTTTTCACAATCTCTGGTGCAACGAGGCAGTCCTGGCTGCTTCACGGGTTCCCGGGTCTCCAGTTATATTTTCTATTCTGTCACTACTTTAATCAGTAATTATTCCCATTTACATTTATACTCATGTAATTTGACTTAGTTATTATTGCTAGTTTTATCATTTCACTTTTTAAAAGTCCCTTCCTAATTTTCCCACTATTAGTTTAAATGTTACCTATTCTGTGATTGTGCTTTCAGTTACCCTTATGCATACTTAAATTTATGCACATTTAAACCTATATACTTAATTTTTTGATTATTTTTCCAAATGCATTAAAAGCTGAAGGACATAAACTCATCTTACTCCCTTCTGACATACAAGATATGATTGGAAAAGACAGTGGGTTTAGATTAAAAACACAATTTGCCATTGTACCCCCCCCCCCACTATACTCCCTTTTGCTTTGAACAAACTTACCCCATTATTCTTGACAGTTTCTGAAGCAGTTCTTAAAGTCCTTTTTGGTTACACTATTGTGGCTCACTCCCTGGCCTAAAAATTCTTACCGAAATATTTACCTTTCATGGTCATTTTGACTTTGGGAAAGTGTCAGAAATCACAAGATGTTAGAGCTGATGAATGAGGTGAACCTAAGGTTTTTCCAGGACTGACTTCCCATAAAATGACACTCAACAGCAGTATTCATATTTTTTAAATCCTATTTATTTTTTTAAAAGAGGTTTGGTCACTGAGAACCAAAGTTTCAAATGTGCCACTCCCCCCCCACCACCGTTTTTTGTTTTTTGTTTTTTTTTTTTTAATCTTTTTGAGACAGGCTTTCACTATGCAGTTTTGCTGGCCTTGAACTCACTTTGTAGCTGAAGGCATGTGTCACGGTGCCCCAGGTCCCTTAGTCATATATCACTTTGACATGCCTTATATTTTGGTATCACCTATTGTATGTGCTATTATTTGATATAGTTTTTGTTTTATTTTAACAATAACATTTAAGTCATTTTATTTCATTGCTAGTTACCTTGTTCCCTTTTTTATTTTCTATCTCAGACTTTCCATTTGTATTGTCCTAGTTTTGAATATAATTTCAGAAGTTTTTTAAGACACAAATCATTGGTAATACTTTTTGTTCACATTAAAATGTATTTTATTTATGTTGCTGTAAAATGGTATTTTTCAGGTTTTGAATTTTAGATCACAATCATTTTCACTCCACTTGTTAAAGATAATAAAACTTAATTGTGTCATAGTTTCTGTAATTGCCTTTTGAGAAGTATTTTGCCTCTTGTTCTTATGAAGTGAGTTCTCCTTTCTATTTGTCTGATTTTAAAATCTTCCTCCTTTTAGCCAAAACCACCATTTCACCTTACTGTGTTTAACTGTGAATTTCCTTTTAAATGATAGGAGTGGTTTCTGAGTTTGTGCATTTGTGGTAATGTGCAAATTCTCAACCATCAACTTTTCCAATTGTTAAAAATCTTTTACTTTCTTCTTTTGGGTACCTGGCCATTTTTCAAACCATTATTTTGTCTTTCATGCTTCTTACCTACTCTTTTCAAATTTTGTGTTCTTGACTTTCATTCTGGACTGTTTCTTTGGCTAATTCATGTAGTTTGGATAATGTCTAAATTTTTCAAATTCTATATTAAGTACTTGTTTCTGTGTTTGTGTTTGTCCTAAAATAGCTATTGTAGTCCTCCTTTTCCATATTGATATATTTTACTTACCATCAACTCTTGAGTTTAGGTTCTTATTTATCTGTTGTGTGTGGAAATTTTTCTTGGGAGTCAAGCATTGCTTTAAAATAGGATTTTTACCACTCAGTTAGTTGTGAAGCAAGACTCTACTATATAACATGTACTGTAGGGTTTTGTTTTTGTTTTTGTTTTCCTGAGACAAGATCTTGCTATGTAGATGTAGTTCATACTGGCCTTGAACTCAGAGCGATCCCTCTGCTTCAGCCTTCCAGGCGCTGGAATTTTACAAGTGTGGGCCAGTATATCTGGCTTCTTATGTCTATTTTACTTTAAGTGGCTCAAGCATAATAGATAAGCTACATAATACATATTTAAGATCATGAACTTCTCTTTTTCACAGGATTTATATGCCAACATAGTTCAAATTTGTTGTCTTTTTCTGTCTGCCTTTACTGTCTATCTGATTTTGTTAGTCTGTTCTTCTGGTAGATATGTCAAATTCTTCAGCATGTATTATTTCTGTCTCTTAATATCAATTTAAACAGTCCTAAAGTAAGAAACTGTTCCTATAATTCTGAGAGTACCCAGCTCCAATCCTAGTATGATGAAAAAATTTCTATTTGATAATTGGTTTCTAATACCTTTTGAATATTAAAATTCTCCAAATTCTGTATTTTGTAATGTCATTATTAATTTGTATGTTTGAAACATGTTTTCTTATTTTAGCCATGTGAAACTGGTTTTTAGAACTTACCTTAAAAAATCGTTCTTTTAGTTCTGTAAATTTGTTTCCTATTTTAATTAAAATTTGCTGTAAGAACTAGTTTTCCACCATTTATAGTCATTTTACTGTGATGAACATTTGAAACTAAAAATGTAAGCATTTGAGTTCTTTATAAAACTACAATGCAATTTGTTCTCTTTTCTTATCACCTCAGACAAAGAAACAGCCATGGTATAACAGCACATTAGCATCAAGACGAAAAAGACTCACTGCTCATTTTGAAGACCTAGAACAATGTTATTTTTCTACACGGATGTCTCGTATCTCAGGTACGTGTTTAGGGTTTCTCTTAAACTATCTCAAATTCATATTTCAGATCAATTTCTAGGTTTTTATGGTAAATTTGTGGAAAATCCTAGTTGTAAAGAAAGCTGTGTATTTTTTAGATAGTCTATCAGAGCACTGTGAAGGTTTTTGTTTTACACTTTTTTTTTTTTCCTTTTTTCTTTTTACCGGTACTGGGGATCGAACTCACAACCCCCACTGTGAAGGTTTTTAAAGATCTCAGAGAATATTATTTTCCAGTGATGATTTGCATTGTCTTGGTATTTTTAATTTTGATATATAGCAAGCCAAATAAGTTTAGAAAATCAGCCGTGATAACATAACTAGCAAAAATAAAGTCTCTTCATTTGCCTACTTTTCAACATTAAGTTCTAAGCATTGGCCTTGGTATTAAGAATTAAAAGTTGGGGGCTGGGGATTTAGCTCAGCGGCATAAGCACCTGCCTTGCAAGCAGGTGGTTCTGAGTTCGATCCCTGGTACTGATAAAAAGAAAAAAAAAAAAGAATTAAAAGTTGACGGCTCTTACTGTTGTTTAGTGAAGGAAGCCACAATGATTATACTGTGTGATATTATGTATAAATATATAGAAGTTATGAGAACGAAAAATATCTGCTGTTATAAAACTAAGAGAGAAATATCTAGGACACATTGAAAAAGAGATGGTGTTAAGAGAAGCAAAGACCAAAGTAGGAAGTTTGGAGGAATTGTATTTGCCCCAGGCCAGCATGAGTTAACTGACAAAGGATTATTCATTGAAAGCATATTCAGTAACATACATGGAGGTGTGACTTGACACTACAGTATTTTTATTGCTTTAGGGAAGTAATAAGGTTCTCTGTTCTTTAACCCTTCTCAGCATCTTTGCTTATCATGAAGTAAGGACATTAATACCAAAAGGTTGTCAGTGGTAAATATACAACACAATACTTGGTGCATGTGGGGTGGTCAGTTGATTCATCATTTCTAGTGTACCTGCTCTAAATAAAGACCAACAAGGGAAAAATTCTATTTTATTGACTGTTAAAAACTTAGCCTTGGTTAAATGAACATACTTAGATCTTTTGGACAAATTTGCCTCCGAATTGATGATTGAGAAAAAGTTATGTTGGAGTTAGGTAGTACTTTTTTCCTTGGGAGGTAAGAGGAAAGGCAAGTACATGGCAAGCATGTTTAAGATTAATGGTAAATACTTTCTGTAGATGTAAAGCTGACATTTAGGAGGTTGAGTCATTTACTGAGTGTTTGTAATTTTCTGTTAACAGGAAGTTGTTGAACTGAAGGTGATCTGAGACCTGTATACTGACTGATAGGCAGAATTATGTTAACTCCTTTAAATGTGATTTGGGGTTATAATGTAGAAATATAGTACACCAAGTGAAAGACTTTTTTAAAAGGAAGATCTTGGTGTAGGTAACATTTTTTTTTTTTTTTTTTTTTTTTGTCGTCTTTTTCCTTTTTATCCGTACCGAGGATCAAACTCACGACTGCCTGCTTGCAAGGCAGGCGCTTATGCCACTGAGCTAACTCCCCAGCCCCCATAGGTAGCATTATTAATAGTCCTGAAGTCATAAGCATGTTCAAAATAGTAAAGGGAGCCCCTTGACAACTTACAGGGGTGAGGGGTTACATTATAGGAAAGTTGAAAAAGAAGTTAAGACAGGAAGACATTTTATTTGTATCATCATAACTGTATTGTACTTAAAGGTTATTGGCATTAGTTTTTAGGAGTCCTAAGTTTATCTTACCAGATTTACACATTGGCTATAGAATCATATTAAATATGATGTACCTTTTCAATTCCTTTGACAATAAAGGCGAAATTTTAACTTGTACATGGTGAGGTCCATAGGAGAATGTTTGTCTTTCTTATATTTTCAAATGAGAATCTACAAATCTACTGAATCCCCTGAGTGGAAAGACATATAAATTAAAAAGCATTCAAGAAAAGAAAAGAGACCTTGAAAAAACTTTAGGTGAGACGATATGCCAGCAGATACATGTGGATGTTGGTCATAAAACACAAACAAACAAACAAAAACAAACTTTCTTTTGTATGACAGATAAGTAAACACTGATTCCTGTACTGTTTTCTTCGTAGTTTCTTTGGAAGTTAGTGTTAATGATACATCGTAGAAGTCCATGTATCCTTACAGAGAATCATATATTTAATGCAGTACACATTCTTGATGATGTATGCAGAAATAGAAGTAAATTTGTGAAAGAACAGATTAACATTGCAACAGTTTCTAAATAGATAAAAACTGTCTTTCTAGTATTTTTTTGTTTTTGTTTTTGTTTTTGGTATGAGGGATCAAACTCATGACCTTCCACTTGCCAGGTAGGTGCTTACAACACTGAGCTAAATCCCTAGCTGTAAAAAGCTCAGAGTAATAGGATTATATATGAAAAGAATCAATTAACTGTTATATCCAAAGCACTGTGAAGTACAGTTGATGGTTTGGGTATTTTTTTCTCTTTTATCATCACTTTTTTTATAATATGTTGAATTTCCTGAGAATCATTTTTATGTAACAGTTTTATCTCAATACCATTAATATTGCATGCTAATTAGGTTATTTCTTTTGCTGTTTTTAGAATGAAAGCACTGCTAATTTGGACTCTTAATACGGGTTCTTAGGTGAATTTGTTTACTGTTTGCATCTTAAAATTTGTAATGTGTTAGGGGTAAAAATGTTACTCTTTAAAAACGAATTTTTTTTTTTAATCGGTACCGGGGATCGAACTCAGGACCGCCTGCCAGGCAGGTGCTTATGCCAACTGAGCTAAATCCCCAGCCCTAAAAACAATTTTTGGATAAATTTCTTCATGCCAGTACATTTTTAAGCTAACCTAATGGTTGGGATTAATACTTTTTACTATAACATCATATAATTCTTTAATGATTTTTCATTTTCATTTCACTGTGTTTTACTGTTACCTCTCTGGGTGGAAATTTGAGAAAGAAATCAAAAAAGTTCACCTTGAAGAAACTATGGATGAGCATAGAACAAGGAAGAAGCTGTGAAGCTATGATGACAGTTGTGTCAGATTTCAAATAGATAACTAGAGGAAGTGTTTGCCTGCTGGTTTTGCTTGTTTTGTTTTTTAATTTTTGGGAAGAAAAATATAAGTCCACACTTTTTTTTTTCCTGTTTGGAGGTGTGCTTTGAGATAAGTAGGATCCACTTCAAGCATTCTTTAAATTCGTTTCTAAGAATCATGTATGTTACTTTTTAAATTTCCTTCTAATAATAAGATTTGAGACACTTAAAAGTGTTATGCAAACAAAAATTTTAAATGTATTTATTTTTGTTTTGTTTTTTGAGTTTTGAGGCAAGGTCTTGCTATGTATATGTACCCCAGAGTGCCTTTAAACACAAGGTGATCCTCTTGCTTCAGCCTCTTGGGTGCAGGGATTATAGGCATATAATACCACATATCATCTAAAGACTAATTTTTGTCTAAAATGTGTCTCAAATTTTGCTTTGTCTATAAGCACAGCATAACAATTTATCCCTATAAGTGTGTTCCTTTTAAGTAATGAATACCCTGTCATATATTTTTTTCCTCTTCCTAGCCCTACTAGTTCTTTATTTAATAAGTTTTGTTTATAAATAAAATTTTCTCTACTCATATTCTTTTATTGTTTTTCTAAGAAATTTTTGCTTAAAAATAAATTTTCTTACTGATGTTGAAGGAAATGGTGACTTTTTAAGTAATGTTAGACATTTTTATTAAAGTCAGAAATTCAGCTAATCTTGGCATATTAGTCTTCTCTAAAATCTTTTTAAATAATATTTTTGTATTTATAAGATAGCTTTTAATTTGTGAATATTGGTCTTTGCTTAATGTGTAGTACAGTTCATCTTTTTGTGTATTTATTCTTCATGTAGATGATGCTCGAACTGCAAGTCAGTTGGATGAGTTTCAGGAATGCTTGTCCAAATTTACTCGCTATAATTCAGTACGACCTTTGGCCACCTTGTCATATGCTAGTGATCTTTATAATGGCTCGAGCATAGTCTCTAGGTAAGTACTAAGAACACTCATTATTTTCTTTTGTTAAAATCTCTAAAATTTCATTGAATTTGGGAAGCATATCATTGAAAACCTGGGTTCTGAAGCTCACTTTCGGATTTCCTTATTTTCCTTTAAATGATTCTGTGATGATGTCCCTCTTTTATCCCTGATTCCTTTACTTTTTTCCTAGTCTGGCTTAGAAGTTTGTCGTTTTTATTGAGCGAGTTCTTGGTTTTGATGGTCTGTAATTCCATCTCTGGTTTCATTTGCCTTTTGTTTGGTTTCTTCTGCTTTCTTTAGGTTTTTTGTTGTTGGTACTGGGGGTCAACTACTACCAGGCATGCATTTGTGGCCCTCTTTAGTTTTAATTAGTTCTCATTTGCTAACTTTTTAATGTAGAAACTGAAGTCATTGGTAACCATTTTTTTTCTACTATAAATATCAGGTACTATAAATTTCTACTTCTAAGCATTGCATTAGCCATTAGATATGTCAGACACATACTGATGTCACTACGTATTCATTGAGTTCAAAATGCTTCCTGCTTTTAAAATTTAATTTTAAGCTTTGTTTTGTTGTTGTTTGGTTGGTTGGGTTTTTTGGTTTTTTTTTTTTCTTTTATGTTTTGGTTTCCTGAGATAGGGTCTGACTGTTAAATTTGTGGTAATTCTCTTGCCTCAACCTCCTGAGTGCTAGGATTACAGGAATATACCCCCCCCCAGTTTAAACTTTTTAATTTTAAATAGTTGGGTTTTTATTTTTAAAAATTAGATAAAATTATTTGTGGTTTTCAAATACAGCATAATATTTTTAAATGTGCATGAATATTTAAAATCCAGTTTTATTTTTTCTTTGAGTTACTGGTATTTGTGTTTTCTATTATTGATTTATCTTCACTATCATCCTTTTGGAAGATGGAATTAGACATCAAATCCAGGGAACTCTGAGTTATATCCCAAGCCCTTTTTATTTATTTTGAGACACTATCTCACTTAAATACCCCAGGTTATCTTCAGATTTTCAGTCCACCTACAACAACCTGCCAGGTGTGTGAGACAGGGCTCTCCCACCATGTCTCGCCCTTCAGCATTTTGAGCATCATTCTTTAAAAGTTTTTATGAAAATTTCTAATATACATAAAAATAGAGGGGATAGCATATCGCATATAATCACCATTCAGATTCAGTGGTGATTAAGACCACCAAAATGAAGGGTCATTTGACCTTTTTATTCTTATTTTCTTCACTTAAATATTTTGAAAACTCAGAAACTAATTATTTTACCACATATATTTAAGAATCTGGATTTTTAAAAAATAGTAAACATTGTTAATTTATAGGATTATGCCACATGGATGGACAGCAATTGCCAGTAATTCCAGGGTATCATCAATTGCTAATTCATATTCAAACTTTATAGAATAAAGGGAAGTAAAAAGTTATTTTTTGAAGTGGATCAGGAGTTTAGCAAGTTCAGTTTCTTTTTCTTTCTTTGGTTACGTCTACCACTGAATTCTACTCCTAGCCATGGCAAGTTTAAATTATATAATGCCACTATTAAAACATTGCACATTTTTCCTTTGTACAACCAAAATTTATATTTAACTATATGAACATAAACCTTGAAATCTAAGTGTTTAGCTAGAGGGATTATTGTGGGAAATCTTTGAAGGCGTTAGCTTAGTAATGAATAAGACAAAAATCATACGTTTATTTGTTTTTATTTTGGGAGTGTGTTTAAGCACTGGATTGAGAAAAAAATAAAAATTCACTGTGGGCTAAGGGTAGGTGTAAGATTAAGGAGACGAGGCATATTAATTGAATCAGGAGAGTTCACAGTGTTATTTTAGAGCCTTTATAGTAAGAAATACCAGAAATAGTTTTATGACACAATTTCATTTGGAGCAGCCAAGTAACATTATTTAAATTCCTAACTGCTGTTAAGAATGTATAACATTGATTAACACTTCAGATATGTAGTTTGAATGTGAAATGACAAAAATAAATATCAGTAATTATTTATAATAGCAACCTATATATATGCACATATATATATGCGCATATATATATATATTTCTATGACTGTGATTATACTCAGGATAAAAAAATACCATAAATGTCACAATATTGATCAGTGTCCTTAATAATTATGAATTTATCTTTTATTTTCCTCTTCAATTAAAACAAAAGAAGCTAAGTGTGGTGACACATACTTGTAATCTCAGTACTTTGGGAGGCTGAGGTGGGAGGGTCACAAGGTTTGAGTTTAGTTTGGGCATTTGAGGAAGGCTAAGGATATAGTCATTATGAAGGTTCTGGTACCTTGATGGCAAAACACAAAAACCCTCCAAGATTAGAACTTCTTGACATCATACTACAAAAGCAACATGTCTACTTACAAGATAAAGCATTTTTATCAGTCACTTTTAGTTATAAATCTCATTCTTTTTTTCATCATATCTGAAAGCCATTTCAACTTGACATTATCATGGATTTAAAAATAGTAATAAAATTTAACTATAATAAGACATTTATATCAGAGCACTAGGAATTCTGAAACAGAAGTTCATAGTCCTTAGAAAGCCTAGTTGAATTTTTAAACTGAGACTGTTATAATTCAAAGTAAGGTCAGTTACTGTCTTGGTTATCTTTTTCCTTATTTTTGAGACAATATACCTGACACTCAAAATTAGGGAAGGGAAGGTTAATTTTTTACAGTTTGGAGGTTTTAGTTCATACTCATAAAGCTGGATGGTGTGGCGGGAAGCCATTCATGCCCGCCCCAAACATCAAGCATGAAAAAGAGCAAAAGAGGAAAGACACACCTTCTTCCCACTTTTACACTGTATGCTGGCTCTGCCCCTAGGTGCATGCAGCACTCACATCACCAACACTATACAACAAATCAATCACAAATGCTCGGTTCAGCCTTGTCCATGATTATATGAGGTTTGGGGGGACCATCTGACTATAAACCGTAACAGTTACTTTAAAATATTTTAGTTAAAATATTTTTAAAGGATTTTTGGTTGGTCCACCTTGCATGTTAATTAATGTCTGTTTTTTCTTAGTTACATTGAATTAACATTTCATCACATTTCATGTGAAAGTTTGAAGTTTGTTAGACACTACATAAGAAAATCAGTAGGTAAAAGGATGATACAGTTAAAAATGATGGAGCTGCTAAGCTTTCACACCCTTCGTGTTTGCATTTATATTCAAAATATGGGTAATAAATTTTAAATGTTTTTAATTTTATTAAAGTAGGGAATTTAATGAATTTCTCTCAAGAAAAGGATAAAAGTGAGAAGATAGTTAATATTTAATTTAGTACATTATATCATATGAAAAATAATTACTCTTATTGTAGCATTGCATTAAATACATCTCCTGTTGACATTTATTGTACATTGGGGATCTCACTGATAAAAAGCTAGTTTTATACCATATCTGTCAGTCCACAAGGTGGCAGCATTTGTTTGCAGTATCTGAACTATTAGAAATTGATGGCCTATGCTGAAGTGTGTATTAATTACCTAATGGTCTTAGATTAATAAGGACAAGTAATGGAGAGAAAAGACGGTAATTCCTGTACCCTTCTTACACATAGCAATAATGTCAGAGTTTGCATTTTGTTTTACATTAGATTTTCAATGGTCACCAGCAAGGGTTGTTTTGAAATCTAGACTTAGTAGTGACGATTGTTTCTTAAATTCCAAAATAACATACCTAGTTTTTCCTGGTTTAAAATGTTACACATTTTACCTCAGGAAATTTTAAAACATTTTTATTTATGTTTGCTCAAATCATGGAAATTTTATGGTATCAGGCATTAGTAAACTCATGATAAGAAAATATTGGGACATTCATTGATGCTAAATTAGTGACTATAATGGTAAACAATACAGTGTTTGATTAGTCTTTTTAGACACGTAAGGATCTTATATGGATTCAATTGTATAGACTACTTTTCTAGAAGAAAGCTTTATGATTCTGTTATAACTCCTAAATTGAAACAACGGTTAGAATAGGTTCAGTCTGAATGAGTAAAGTTTTATGTGGTTGAAAAGAATGCAGTTTTATTCCTTTTAGTTGTTTAACCTAACTAGAGGTAGACTGTTCATCTTAATTAAATTAGATGAAACAAAATTGAAATTTTCATTAAAATTATTCTAGTTTTCTGTATGGCACATTGTAAACTATATAAATGTTAGTATTCTTTTTTTGCTAACATTTTTTAATTAAAAACAGAAAAAACAGTAGAAATGATACAGAATTTCAAAAAATAACATTAAGAAATCATCACTAGTTGATACATTACATATTGTTATCTTAGCAGTAGTTGTTCAAATTACAAAATCAAAACAAAAATGAACAGACAGTCAAACAATGACAGCACAAACTATTCTGTTTCATGTACTAACATAAACTTAGTAGTATGGTTATTTGTTTTGCACACTTAAACATACATATAGTTATATGTGTATCAGTTATGTTTTCCTTTCGAACACTTCCTTTTCCTTTCATTATTACAATATATATTATACATTTTGGATCATAATACTCATTAGAGAGACAAATGTGAGTCTAATTTATTTCACTTAAAAGGATAGTCTCAAGTTGCTTCCATTTACCTATAAAAGCCTCAAGATCACTCTTTATAGCTGCGTAATATTCCATTGTAAAAATACCACATCTTTTTCATCTGTTCTGCAGTTGATGAGCATTTTGGTGGTTTACAAGATTTAGCTATTACAAATTATGCTGCTATAAACATGGGTACACATACATTACTGTGACATGACCTTTTCAGTTTTTCTGGGAAAATACCTAGGAGGGGAATAGCTGGATTGAATGGAACCTCCAATCCTAATTTTTGAGGAATCTCTGTACTGATTTCCACAGTGTACCAGTCTACACTCCCACCAACAGTAAAGAAGTGTTCTGGACTCCCCACATAAATGTCAGTATTCTTAATCCTTTCAGATTCGCTGATGTATTTTTAAGAGT